CTGTTCAAATACTATAAAAAAGCTTCACCAAAAAGACTTTTTAAAATAATATTTTATGCGAAAATATATTTTAAATCAAGTGTATTTTGCTCACTTATATGAGTTATTATTGTTAATACATATGTATTTTTTAAAACAAAGTTTCTCCAGAAAGCAAAAGTTGGCACATTGAAGCACATGAAATAATTAGCTGGACACACATGACTACATTTATCACATAACTGTAACGTCACACGAATTTATGAATTGATTGACTGGAAAAACGTGATTATAGTTATCATGTGACTATTACGTCATATGAATATAACCCATTTCTAAGAATGAAAATAGGTCACCAAATGCCACGATATGCTGCCAGTAATAGAAACCGCACAAGTTTTAACTCAGTAATAATAACGATGATAGCATTTAGTGACATTTTTTGAACTGACGATGTCTTTTAATTTGCTGAAATCAGTAGACGTTATAATACGTAAGTACCCAATTAGTTTATATTTAAAATATAATATCAAAATGAATTAAAAGTATAATGTAATCGTACACAAATACATTTTCTTCGCTGTCTTTTAAAACTCTTTACATAAATAAAGATGAATTTTTAAAGATTTCACTAATTATTTTGAATAAGAAATTGAAATAAGTACTAACACTTCACATTTTATTTATAGTATAGCTAATAGAAAGTTAAGTACCCAATCGACTCTCAATTTGAATATTTTCAAGGTTCAGTAAAACATTTAGAATAAAAAATAAATCTTTCAATACACACAACTCTTTTTTTTTACGCGGTAGATATGTTCTTTACACAAAACCTTACAAAACAATTGTATAAAATATATGTGATATTTTTTAGGATATGTTCCACAACTTTAAAAGATCGAGTAAGATAAAAAAATATTTTCCCTATAAACCATGCAAAAAAGTAGTAATGAAATCCCTGTTACATACTTATAAAACATTTTTACTATAAGAAAGTTCAAATTGGACTACAGAGAAAAAGTTCAGACCAAAAGCATATAAAAATTCAAATTCAAATTAGAAATAAAGTATTAACAAACAATTGTTCATTGCTACTTGATAACAAGCGTGCACGTTTATTACGAACTGAATAAGAAATGCTGCCATCAGTAGATGTGTCTGGTATGTCTAGCATAACTGCCGGCTTTGATTCAAATGAAGAATTTCGTTCTTTACTAACGGCTTCTGTTGGGTTCTGTTTTAGTTTCTAAAGATGCTTACATAATTCTTGATATTCTGCTATACAAAATTTATGATTACTCAAAATAAGTGCTTCTCAGATTTTCAATGTTTGTGACCCAAATTTCAATGATAATTTTTATCGTGCCCCTCTCCATGCAATAATAATGTATTAAAATCACTGATAATGATGTACTTTGACACACTAAAACAACAATACGACCTTAATTATAAAACATGAAAGCTATCAAAATAAGTATTAAATTTTGTATTTAACAAGCCCATGGGGTAACTAGTAATTATTAAACTTTTGTTCTTAACTTAGTTTTGATAAATTAATTAGCAAAGACATTGTGTGCAGTACTGATACATTTATAAGAGTAAATGTGTTGTGACGTCTTACGCGTCTTTTCTTTAACAAGTCCTTTGGGCCAGGATTAATGGCAACTTTTTTCCAACCAAATCCAAGAAATAAGATGTGAAGTAAAGATGCAAATAAACGGACTTTAAATATCGGATCTTAGAGAAAGCACGATGGCAATGTAAAGGAATGTTAGACAATTGATGTGCGTTGGGGCAGTTGATGATTATTACAGTATGTGTTTCAAGATTGAATAAGTTCTTTGTGACGTGGATACATATATTGGTGCTCGACTGGAAGGTAGCCGTAAAGCTGCATCCCATTGCAGATAAAGACAAGTGCTATTACAAGATATAATAAGGTAGGATTGATTACTTAATATTAGAATCGAGGATTAGGCGGTTCGCTTATTAAGATTGGTATGAATTGGATTAGGTCTTATTATATATATATATATATATATATATATATATATATATATATATATATATATATATATATATATATATATATATATATATATATATATATATATATATATATATATATATATATATATATATATATATATATATATATTGTGTGTTGCGTATTGCGTCATCGTAGATTCTCTCATATTAATTATTATAATTGAATTTGTTAAAGGTTTAGGTTGAATATCTTGATAAAGTCATATTAAGATAATGTTTGATCCTAGTTCTTTTGCTAATCCTACACCTCTAGCTCACGCTGATACTTCGAGAGATGTACTTCCAAGGGGAGGAACATTACAGTGTATTTTACTTTTTGTTACGTCAGAATGTATTTTGTTTTGCTTCCTTTCAGTAAATTAATAATTTTTTCAAAGAATTCTTTATTTTAGACCTTTTGATTTACTTGCGCCCCGCCCCTTATGTAAGGTTATCACACCCCATGGGGGGAGGGCGTCTCAAAGTTTAAGAAACGCTGCACTGAATTTCAATGCTTGCTCTATGTTAGGATCATGAGTAAGAAAATGTTGTTCCATACTTGTATCAAATTTCAAGCCCTCGTGAATCAAATCAACTGTTAGAATTAAAAACAAGTAATATAAAAAAATTATTTTTAAGTCAATTCCTATTTAGATCAACAGGGAAAAATTTCATTTTAGCTACTTTTTATTAAATAGTTACAATTAATATAAATATGTACATACATCGGACAGAATCACAACATTAAGTGTGTGGTAATTTATTTTTATTATTTATCACTAAAGCATCATATTGTCATCCAAAACAATCGTGTATATAAAATTTCAGTTCAACTGAATGTTTTAACACGTGAGAAAAAAATCTTTTCAAGTTTTGACACAAGTCGCCAAAATGGTCACTAAATCGCCAACGTGGCTCTATTTGTAATTCTTTAAATAATTAGTTTTAATCAATTAATTTTTATTAATTATAATTGAATTATTGTATTGTCATCCAAAATGATCATGTACATAAAATTTCAGCTCAATTGAGCGCTTTAAAATGTATTTTATTAACGATTGAAAATTACACCAAGATAAATAAACAAACAAACAAACAAATAAATATATAGAGAGAGTGAGTGAATAGTAGAAATTGAACAAATTTCGGGGAGGGGAGATTTGTGCTGAAACAAAAATTCGCGTAAAAAAGTATATTGAGGAATCGTGTTATATATATTTCAAAATCGTGAAAAAGAATTGGGTGTATACGTCATCAGTGTATTATTAATATTTTCACTGATGAACACATTTTATCAGAATCTCGTGATTTATTTCGAGATGAAAAATTAATTTTTAACTCCTATATATAAGAAGTCTTCCGTATCAAGAAATTAGCTATTTATATTTTAGAATTAAGGTATATATGCTAATAATTCAAACTTATTACCTTTGTCATTATCCCTCGTAGAATCTAGCTCGTGAAAGCTTTGCAAACTCTAAGAAAAATTCTACTTCCAACAACGTTTTTTAAAAAAGGAAAACCGAATGTATTACACAGGTCCACATTCTATTCCATGAAACTCATCTGCCATATTTGTGTGTTCCCCACCATTTCTCTTATCCGCTAATCCATTCCTTTCAAAAAAGGTGAACAGACTTTTCGTAAATATGCTGAATTAAACACAACACAAAACATCCCGAACAAACAATATATTACACTTAAGGAAACGAGGCCTCCAAGAGGAATAGGGGGTACACGGTCTAACAACTCGGTTAATAAGCGGACTGATAAATGTTGCTGATGATCCAACGGCATAAATTTTTCCTTTTCCCACCCCCTTTATACCTCATGCATAAAGTAAATGAGAAACATGCTCCTCAAAAACCGAAGGATCCCACCCATTAATCTAATGGAGAAAAACCGCTGAAATTCCATTGTGTTCTCACTAACCATTTCGAAAGAAGTACAAAGCTCATTTCGCTCTTCCCTTTGTGTTTTGACGTTGCTATGCCAAAAAATTTTTTCTTTTACCTTTCCTCTCCCTCAGAGCAAGCCCGAAAAAAAAATGTGTGTTTGGTGCTCTTTTCTTTTCAGTACCAGCTCACGTTCGCTATTCAGCAATATCTAGGATGAAAGATCGAAATCATTTGGTTTTTTTTTTTTTTTTGCCCTGTACTTTCTATTTTATTTTTTTTTTGGCTATTTCTATTGCCTTTTCATGTCCCTCCCCCTTAGTTCTTTTTCAATGCGTTTTTGTCATTTATTTGCTTTTATATCTATGAAAAAAATTCCAGTATTGGTTTTCCTGAAGCGGGAAAAGCAAGAATTCATATCGGTGTATGTTGAATCTGTCATTTCTGAACACAAGTCTCCAGTTCCTACCGGAAGTTATAGTGTTGTACCTAGTGACTTCCCTGGTATTTGGACCTGCCGTGGAAGTTGTTTTCGCGACGGGGTTGACTTTTGGTTCAGTGCGTCGATGAAACGTTTTTTACCGTTTCAACGAAACTGCTTGAGTTTTTAAGATGTATTATTTAAAAACTTTAAAAGCTTAAAATGAAAAAAAAAAAATACTAAGAAGATAAAAATGGGATATTTTAGTTATTAAAAATTATGAATATGTGTTATATACTTGCAAAAAAAATTCAAAAATTATATTAGCAAATTTCGGGGAAAGTTAATTATTTTAGTGAAGATGTTTCCATTTTAGTCAAAAGAAAACACTTTAAAAAATTGTGTAATGCGAATGGCAAGAATAAATAATGATTTCTTTTGATATTTCTTGTTATGAAAAACAAGTCGTATTAAATAATTACAATTAATATAAATATGTATATACATATGATAGAATCACAATATTAAGTGGCAAAATAGAAAGCGATTTTACCTTTTCTTTTCCATTTATAATTTGGGACTAGTGTATTTTTTTGTTACTATTTCTTCATTAATTACATTTAATTATTCCAATAAAATAGTAAAGTAAAAATAAATCACGTTCTCAGATATCGGGCCATCCCAGGTGGGATTCGAACCCACGAACTTTGTATTAGAAGTCCAACTCGCAATCCATTGCGCTACAGGGACACACCGAACGATTTTCCTTTTTATACATGATTCAGGACTTATTTTTGTTTGTTTCTTTTTATTCATTAATTTAATTTAATTAATGAACTAATATTTGTAAAAACTGTGCTAACATCAAGTGTCATCCACTACAAGTTTAAAAAAATGTATTTGAACTTGACTGGATGAATGAAAAGTATTTTATAAACGATATTGAAGATTTCAGAAATATATATATATGTACATCTTACACATTTTTGACAATCAACCAATTCAAAGACTACCATATTTGATTATCATCTCTCTTGGTATCCATCTTTGCTGGCTGGTTTAAAAGTTAGTTCAAAAGATGCGTTTATGTATATTCGAATTTTTTAACTCGGTGAATAATTGATTTTCATTAATTTCAAGATGTTTGATTCTTTTGGAAAAAACTATGTGAGTAAAGAAATTTTGTTAAATTCTTTTTTGAAAAATACTTTTCTTACGTAATTGTTTTAAGATTTTTCTATTTTTCTACTTTTCTTACGTAATTATTTTGGAATTTTTCTGCATTAAGAGTTTGGGAGAGTTTGTTGCAAAGTAGTAGTCAGTGGTTTTATCATACTCTCTGTGAGTTTTTACATACTTTGAATTTTTGTTTATTTTATTTGGTTTTTCCTACCGAGTTGTAAAGGGGGAAGGTTGGCGCTTTCAAACTAGTTTAACCCCACTTATTCGGTCCTAAGTCCAAAATTGCTTTCTGACTCGCAAGGTTCTTTTTTGTAGTTCCCTTTTTGTATTTTTCTATAAATTTCATCTTCATGTTTAGCTTTTATATTTTTATTACGTTATTTCTTGTTATGTTCATTATCTATTATTTCTTGTTTTTGATATATTATACAAATTTCTTTCATATATATATATATAAATATATATATATATATATATATAGGTAAAGTGTGATCTAATATTAGGAATTGAAAAATATAGCTCATAGCTGAATAAACGTTGTGGAAAATACCAGAAAAAAGAAATTTATTTTTGAATATTATTCCCCTCAAAACTTATTCTTTAATATTTAATTATTTGTTGCTCATAAAATATTTAATATAAATTGGATTCGAAATCTTTTATGTAAATGAATTTAGCTTATTTGAAGCTGTTTGTCTTAGCAAAATTATTTAGCAGCATGGGGAATTTTTGACAAATATTGCTTTGAGAATATTGAATAATCATTTTCAAGAATCAAATCGATGTGTGTTAAAATTAAACACTTTTTTCGCTTGGAATTTTCAGTTTATAGTCTGAAAAAGGAGGTAAATTTTCACATGATCATCGATAATGATAGATTTCTATATTTACCATGAATTACCGTGCCTTTACCTGGAGGTATTCAAGCGTTGAATTTGTCAAAAAATTGACAAAATTATTGTATGATTTTACTTTTTAGGTCAATTTGTCACGTTTATAAAAATACCAAGCTTTTAGTTTTCCGCTTACAAAAGTTACAAATGTTTTAGTAAGAGTGGATCCCACTTCGAGTAATACGTTACTGATATTTAAATGTGTTTTACGCAAAGTGAGTTTTTTTCAAAAAATATGAAACGGAGAGAGATTTTTGAAAAATTTATGAAGATAGTTCAATATATTTTGCTTATACTTTTTGTTTCATTTCAGAATTGTTTTGACACTTTTTTTAAAAAAAATCTTTACAATAATGCAGAATTTGCAGCCATTTATATAAATAAAACAGTTGTATCTTTAAGTTTATTGATGCAATGACTAAGATAAATGTTCTATATCATGTAAAAACCTAAATATATTTTCTCTTTTAAGTCATTTCAAAACTTAATAGTAATATATTGTTACGTTGATCGGGTTCGAGGATTTTATGCAAATCAGCTGCAAAGAGCAAGACAGTTCTTTAGGAACGATGGAAATTTATTGTAGAAAAGAGTTCTTAAGAATGTAGGTTACAACAGTGAAATTCGCAGAATAAATCTCAGAAGGCCTTAAAATCTTCTACAGCGCTCTGACAAAACTATCAGTGTCTAAAATACAAGTATGTTTAACATATGTGTATAACAAGCACTAGCTTGTCTTACAGAACAGCCGCAGTAATAACTAACCCCTAGTCGACTCTTCGCGGTCAAATCAATACAAATTTTCCACGAATAAAACAAGAATAACTCAGTCTCAGCGAGTGACTCCCTATTTATAAACCTCACGGATTTTACACGAAAAATCCGCTTGCATCATAGATCCTGATATTAGTATATTTCTGCTGAAATTTCGAGAAAAATCCAAGAGGTCACGAACTTACCAAAGTCGCCAACTTCGCCCCCAAAAACCATGCCAACTTGGCTCTATCACCAAAATTTTGCCAAGTTTCCATTGAATCACTATTTTAATGTAAGGAATGCTGTTTGTTATGCTGAATGCTAAAGGAAATAATGTATGTCGCTTTGGAATGCAACGTAATAAAAAAATGCAACATAGAAATATATAAACGTATTACACATCCAGATATGAGTTATTTACACTATTTTAAGTATTCTTTGCAAAATTTTCGTAAGTATATACAACGTGAATGTGGAAAACCAAATTTGTCCATAAATTTTTCCTTCAAATTGGTTCACGTCTATATAAAGGGTGTTTTTTTAGAGGTATAGAACTTTAAATTGCAATAAAACAACGATGTATTATTCAATTGACATGGATTTTTTTTTATTCGAAAGATGGCATTACATTTTAAATCTGATTTCTGGCATATGACTGTCACAGCTGGCTTGGATGTAGTCCAATCTGGACGTCCAATTTTCGATGACTTTTTCCAACATTTGTGGCCGTATATCGGCAATAACATGGCGAATGTTGTCTTCCAAATGGTCAAGAGTTTGTGGATTATCCGCATAGACCAATGACTTTACATAGCCCCACAAAAAATAGTCTAGCGATGTTAAATCACAAGATCTTGGAGGCCAATTCACAGGTCCAAAACGTGAAATTAGACGGTCACCAAACGTGTCTTTCAATAAATCGATTGTGGCTCGAGCTGTGTGACATGTTGCGCCGTCTTGTTGGAACCACAGCTCTTGGACATCATGATTGTTCAATTCAGGAATGAAAAAGTTAGTAATCATGGCTCTATACCGATCACCATTGACTGTAACGTTGCGGCCTTCATCGTTTTTGAAGAAGGATTCCACCAGCCCATAAAGCGCACCAAACAGTCAGTTTTTCTGGATGTAACGGTGTTTCGACATACACTTGTGGATTAGCTTCACTCCAAATGCGGCAGTTTTGTTTGTTAACGTAGCCATTCAACCAGAAGTGCGCTTCATCGCTAAACAAAATTCGCCTATGAAAATCGGGAACAACGGCAATCTCGTTTTTGGCCCATTCGACGAATCTACGCCTTGCTTGATGATCGTTTTGATGAATTGCCAAACCAAACTGAGAATAAATCACTTGACAGCTGTTAAATCGGTCGCCATCTTGGAAAGTAATGCCAACTTAAACTTCTATACCTGGGAAAAAACACTCTTTAGTTTAAAAAAAATTTCCCCGGTTTCTTCCCAAAATTATATTAAAAAAACTTTTTCTCAGGATGTTGTCTTTTCTTGCATAATTTATTAAATAAATCTGAAAAACTTAAAAACAAGTAATGTAAAAAAAAGTCAGCGTGGTAATTAATTTTTATTAATAATCATTAAAGTATCGTATTGTCATCGAAAACAATCGTGTATACAAAATTTCTGTTCAACTGAATGCGTGAAACGTGAGAAAAAAAATCTCTCAAAGTTTTGACCCAAGGCTCTAAAAATGAAAACAATGTGACTGTATTTGTAATTTTTTAAATAATTAGTTTTAATCAAAATTAATTTTTATTAATTATAATTAAATTATTATATTGTGATCCAAAATAATCATGCATATCAAATTTCAGCTCAATTGAGTGCTTTAAAATGTATTTTATTAACGATTGAAAATTCCACGAAGATAAATAAATAAATAAATAATAGAGTGTGTGAGCTAATAATAGGATTTAAATAAAAAAAAAATTCGTGTGTGTTACCTTAGTAAGATTCATATGCATTTTAGTAGATTAAAAATTCATACATAGAACATGTTGACGTCAGTGATGTTACAAATGACCCATCATGAAGAGATTAGAAATACTTCCGACAGCATGGTATTGAAGTTATGAGAGTGGAGTGCTTGTTCAGGTGTCTTCCTCGTCACTTAACTGTGGTTCAAAATAATGAGACACCTGATTCAAGATTGATGTTTGTGATATTCAATGACAATTGAAACAGAATTTTTATTGCTTTTTTAAAATTTCATGTGGCAACGGTTCTCGTCATTTCGAACCATTATCAAGTGGCTAATCTTGACGCTTGATGGGACATCTCTCTTTCCAAACTTCCTCAGTACTCCAATGTTAGATATATAAATTCTCAGATAATACGGTGCATTGATACACTATCTGGCCAAAAGTATCCGGACACCCAGTGGTATGGACTTAGAGTGCCCTGAGGCACATATTAATATGATGTTGGTCCCCCCCTTTGCATGGATGACAGCCTGCACACGTTTGGGAAGACTTTCCACCAACTTTTGATAGTTGACCATAGGAATTGCCTTCCAGGCGTCCATCACAGCTGAAGTGAGTTCTTGCAGTGAGGATGGTTGATTTGGCTGGCTACGTAATCTGCGCTCTAATTCGTCCCAAAGTTGTTCTATGTGACTTAGATCGGGACTCTGAGAAGACAATTCCAGTTTTTGAACACCCATATCGTCAAACCACGTCTGTGCAAGCCTCAATGTGTGCAGGGAGCAGTTATCCTGCTGGAAGAGAAAATGAGCCTTCCCCGAAATATTTCCATAGAGTTGGGTGTGCAGCATTGTCCAGAATGTCCACATACGCCTCAGAGTTTATTTTTCCAATCACATGAACTAACGGACCCAGGCCAAACCACGAGAAACACCCCCACACCATTATGCTTCCACCACCAAACTTAACAGTCGACAAAATG